TAAATATAAAATTAAAAATTGAAGGACAATATAATTACCAATAAAATGATATGAAAATAAAAATTATGGGGAATGAGTTGCTGTTGTACTATTATGGGGGTGTTTGGATATAACCAAACCATGGTTTGGAGAATAGCTTCTGGAGAATAGATTCTGGGGAGAATAAATTTTTTAAAAAATAGATTTTGTGAAAAAGTGATTCTGAGAAGTGAGAGTGTTTGGATAGTTGTTACCAGAAGCACTTTTTACATGTACAAATTACTAAAAAAGACATAAGTTAATATGATAATTACAGAAAAAAATATATTTTATGATATATTTTAATTTGAAGGAATAAAATTGTTAATAATATATATTTTATTAACATAATTAATAATACATAAGATAATATAATTAATAAATAATTAATATGTATATATATTTATAAGATATAAGATTAAATATATTTATAAAAAAATATGTTTATAAAAAAAACAACAAGATACATATCTTATAGGCTCTCACACTCTTTTTTTTTTTTCCAAAAGCAAAATTTTTTTGCTTTTCCCAAAACCATGATTTTGGTTTTTTTAAGGGTGTTTCATAGTAAACACCCCCTATGTCCATTGTGGTATCTTATCTCGGGTGGTTGTGTACACATCCAAACTACTTTTTTTAAGAGGGAGTGGTGGAATTTGGATTCTTGTTTGGGTGACGAGAATTTTGATTCCTTGCGACACAAGATTGATAAAGCGCTGTCCTTTGTGAAGCTTGACCCAGGAAAGCTTGATGCCTCAGAAGGAGATGGTTAGTTTCCATGGAGATTCTCCTAAATCTGGAACCCCTCAAATGGTATCTTTAACAGTTCTCCTTTTTGTATGTGTGTTCCTGGGAAAGTGTATTGATACATCCTAGTCCTACTATGATGTTTCATCTTTTATAGTTTTTCTTAATTCTTTCCTTAAAAAAAAAAAATCCATTTTTCCTCTTATTTTTTCCATTTCTCCTTCCATTCAAATTACTCTCTCACCTCCTAAATCTAAGATTTACTTGAGAGTTTTGTTTTATTCATAAATATAATGTCTAATTTTCTTTGGCATCTTCTATTAATTGTTTCTTTTTTTTCCAATAATATCCCTCTTTATTGGGATATTGTTATTTTTGCTTTTAATCATTCAATGATGGTGTTTATTTTAAAAAATGTCACAAATTCTTTTTATACTAGTTATAAATAATTGTGTTAACTATTTTTTTTAATTTTTATATATTTATAAAATAAAAATCGGGATAATATACATTAATATTCTGTATTTATTAAGGGAAAGAAAGAAGCCAAGAGAGGCTCTAGAGACCAGAGCATGCAAGACGCCCCCTTCTAACGAAGAAGTGGGCCCCTTTCACGTGATAATGTGACCATCCTCATTTGTCCCCTCCCCGCACCTTAAATATTAATAATAATATTATAATAATTATATTAAAATTATTTGTAAATCTTACAAATTTCAAGAAATAATATTGTGTTCCTCTAATCCGCTCAGAATTTTTATTCTTCCACTGCATGCTACCTCCTGCTTATTACTCTTTCAGTCCTAAATATAAGATTCAATTCCTGAGTTGGTTTTGATCCTAAATATAAGACCCATTTCTCATATTTATCAATTTTCTCTAAATTATTCCTATAGATACTCCTTCAACCATAATCAAGTAAAAAAAGAAAAGGAGGTATTAAGAAAGATGATTATAGTATTTTAGAAAAAATGTGTCACATTTTTTCTAATCAACTAACTTACCTAACTTCCTTAATTTAATCAAGTTAGTTAAATGGGTCTTATATTAAGGACCGAATGAGTATTATTTATTCAAGTATTTTCTAACGTACGCTATTCTTTTGTTTTCTTAATAGGTATTAGGTTGGTTTCACCCAATTTAACTATCAGTACTGTAATTATTATGATCTAATTTACGGAAATCATTTCAAGTACATATGTATGTGAAGAAGGAATCTTATAAGAAGAAGAAATGCTGTGACTTGTCCGTTTGTGAGGCGGTTTTTGGCGACACAGAGGATGATGTCTTTGTCTGTCCTTTAAGAATTGTCTTTGTTTGCAGCATCATTTCATTACTAAATTTAATATGACTCAGTATTCATATATAACCTAAAATTACGTAAGTTTTTTCGTCTCTAATTTGAGATGAGTCACTATATTTGCAAACCAGCGCAATGGTATGAAAGCTCTTTCTATAAATAAGTTCGATCTTCTACTTATCAATTAGGCTATTAATTAGTACTTGTCCCTTCTGATAAAAAAAAAAACAATTGAATTGAATTGAATGGAAGAGTAATGAAGAACTCTCTAACATGTGCTTTGATTGTGGTTGGGATTGAGATTGCTTTTGGAATCCCACCACTAAACAGTAAAAATCATTTCCAACTCGCATGCGTTCTCTTTCTTATCATTATTATTGTTAATTTGAATTATATCAGTTTTATTTCTGTTTTCAATTATATTAAGACTGTGATCAATTAATACGCCACCCATAGTTTCAGACCACGATGAGAGTTAAACCCCAGGACGTGCTCGCTTTTCATAAAACAATTAAATGGGCCAGATTCTTCCATATATCTTTTATGGGCTTGGCCCGGTATGTGTCACTTGGGCTATGTGATAATCGTTTTGGGCTGTACCCATAATGGAGGGAAAAACCCTTGTCTTTCTGTTGTTTTATTTTGCTAAAAATTTTTGGCATTAGCCCAAACTTAAGCACTGTGTAGCGTAGATGGAGATAGGTCTCACAATGAGAGTTGGGTCTAGTAGAAAGAGTTAGTCTCTAACGAATCAAGGTTTAAATTCCCGTTAGAATATGTGCCCACATTTAGTACCCAGCAGTGTTTGAATAGGATTGTCTTCAATAGGAAGATTTAAAAAAAATAAAAGACACAGGGCTCATGCGCTATATTTTTTCATGGAAATTTTTTAAAAATGCATAACTTATTCATTTCATATTAAAAAAATTAATAGAGATTGCAATTGAATATATATATCCACATATTATGTACTCCTCTGGTCCTATTTATAAGATAAAGAGAGATGAGATTTTTTGGTACTATTTATAGGGCATTAAGAAAAACTTTTTATATGGATGTACAAGTATATGGGTGTATAATTTTACTCTTCATTTATTATTGTGTTAACTTTGTTTACATGAAATGTAATGTATATTAAATAGGAATAAAATTAGAAAGTTGTTGGATTTTAAATGAGATTTAATGAAGTTTAAGATTTTTCTTAATTTGTGTGAAATATGTTGGAAGTGACTTATAAATAAGATTAGAGGAATACTTAGTTGGGTCAAGTGTGATGCACTTCATATTTTCCCAACAAGATCTTAGGTTTCCATTTTGATGGTAAAAAATACAATGAAAAAAGTTGCCCTGTTTTTGCGTGATAGTATATAATCATGTGTGCAACCAAATTAAGGCTGTTACTAAAAGAGAAGAGACAAGCTGAAGCAAAATGGGAAAGTAATATAAGCAACTCACAGTCATGCAAGAAACCAATTAAAAGCGTGGCAACAAACTGCTTTTAAGAATGCACCAGAAACAACCTTATTTACGGATATAGTTATTTATTATTATTATTATTATTATTATTATTATTATTATTATTATTATTATTATTATTATTATTATTATTATTATTATACATTTACTTCCTTCTGGATCCAAGAGTTATCATATGCATAATTTAGAATTTATTCGTCATTGAATGAAGCGACGTGATTTAAATAAATATTAATTAATTATTATTATACCCTTTTGGTTCGATTATGATTATTTTATGACTTGTTTAATTGTAAATCCCTGCAAGCTCCCATCTGTCATGACATCACTTTTCACTATCTTCGTATTTTAATTTAATTTTTTTAAGTGCAAGTCACTTTAAGATTTGGCATTCGCACATGGATTGTGATTGTGATTTCTTTCTTTCTTTTTTCCTTGGAGACTACTTTGTCATATAATTGGGAATGGACTTCATGTACAATCGCCTTGGAACCTTTGCTGTGCTTTTTTTTTTTTTTTCCCAATTTTGTTTGTTTAACTGATATTTCTAAATATTTTTCTTTGTTTTGTTTGTGAATGTAATATAGGTCTATTAGGAGAAAAAATACAATAGAGGATCCAAATTTATACATAATATTCTCATTTTTTAGAATTTTATGTATGCCTGTCTTAAACTACATTCTTCTAATGAGTGAGTTTTACTCTTCATGATAATGATTGACTAAAATAATAGAAACTTATATGTCAAACTCTCTCCCTCTCTCATTCTATATTTATGTGTGTGACAACTCACAGAATCACCACTTAAAATGCATATTTATATTTATTTGAGGTAAAAATATTTTTTAAGAGAATCAATTTTTAAAAAAATATTTAAGTCAAACGCATCATTCAATGTTAACAAGTTAATTTTATAAACTCACATGAGTAGCATCAAGTTAGCATCAATCAAATTATATTAAGCAATACTACCTAATCAAGCACCATACTCAAACTACTTAACTATAAACATGAATAGTCTAATTTGTTTTTAGCAATACATGAGAAACATGGATAAGTTTGTGTTGAACTGCGTAGTTTTTTAAAAAGGTTTATTGAATTTTCTAGACGAATATAGAATGGCCACTTAAAAATTGTCATTTTATTTATTGTAATTTTTTTGTCAACTTGAATTATTTAATACCTTCTTCTGGCTATAGATAGTCACCCACTAATTAATCTTAATTTTGCTTTATTGTGAAGATGAAAAATTATTTTGTTCTGAAGAAAATTATATATCTTAATTCACAATGAATTTTCAATTCGAAAGAAATTAGAAAAAAGTGTGCATGTTTTTTCTCTTGGAGAGAGAAGTCACGTTACCTTCCCCGCCGGACACCTTATCTTTGGTAAGCCTAACCTCTTTTGATTTCCACTTTTGATTGCCTTTTCTGAATTGTATTATCGTCATTGGCTTCGAACTTGAACCGCAAAGTTGACCATTTTGTTGAACTTCAAAGCTCATAACTTTCCGCTCCTCCTCCCACAGCCGAAGGCTATTTCTGTCTTCGCAGTCGGATCCCACTGATTTTGACAAAAAACTACTGATAATTTCTCTGCCCAGATGAAAATATCTGCCTAGTCCTTCTCTCTCAGAAAGGTTTTGGATAAACTCGAGAAAGATAACTCGGAAGAAGGAAAGCAAGGAAAGGGAAGCGAAGATCTACGGATAGCAAAACAGGAGGAGGAGAAGAAGAAAGGGAAAAATAAACAGAAGAAAGGAGGGTTCGCGAGCTTATCATCAATCCCGCTTTCTGCAACTCCACAACTATATATTCAAGTGTTGGAAAATAAAATTTTAAGTACCCATTCAGGTTGGTGAAGATTCACGGGCTCAAAACCATCTTTTTGGTGTCTTTCTTCGGCCACCTGCCCTTGTTCGTCTCATCTAATCCGGTGGTCTAGGTTCAACCACGTCAAGCTGCTGGCTTTTCTTTATTCGATCTGATTGAGGTTTTTGGGGTTCTTCCTTTCATCTGTTGAGATGATAATGTGAGAATCAAGTTTCTTTGAGATTTCTACATACAGGGGATTTACAGTGGAGGCAGAAATGGATCGTTCGGCCATCACAGTGGGCCAGGAATGGATATGCCGATCATGCATGATAGCGATCGATATGAACTCGTGCGCGATATTGGGTCTGGCAATTTCGGGGTCGCCAGGCTTATGAGGGACAAGCAGACAGAGGAGCTTGTCGCTGTGAAGTATATTGAGAGAGGTGATAAGGTTAGCTCCCTAATTATTTCGTCTTTTCTTTTAGTGGTTGCCTAAAGTGGATGTCAAATATTTCCTCATGTGGTAATCGAAAGAGTCGAAAGTCTCCGATGACAACTACATCCGATTAATGAGTTAAAAGCATCTTGGTTTCGGGATTAAGATGCATTTCTGTTATCCTTTCCTTTTGAATGGACTGATGGAGGCTGAGCCCCTGCGAAAATTCTGCCTTTAGCGCCATAGAAAGTCAATCGTGTTTCTTTTTCTACTTATAACTGCAGTTTAACGACGTCTTGAATCTTTGGTTTGATCATTAGTTAGTTCCTAAATTAATTTTGAATCTATGTATATTTATTGTTATTCTTTTATTTCCTGGGGTTTATGTTGTGCCTGCATCAGCGGTATGCATTTAATGGCTTAGAAATATTAGCAGTATTTTTGGTTACTAAGACGCAATGGTAAAACATGAAAGGTTTTCCTGAAATATGCCCTGTCCTCCGTCTCGTAAAATCCTGGAAATTTCTCTCCCTGAGGTTACGCACTCTCAACACTCATTCCCCCCGCCCTGGTTTTGGTACCTCATTACTTCAACTCATTGGACTCGATATATCCTAAGCTGTGGACTCTCTAATTCTTGGTACAATTGCACTTAAACAGATACTATGTTGCTCTTGTGCTTGATCAATAGTCTTACTTGTTTCTTAACAGATAGATGAGAATGTGCAAAGGGAAATTATAAATCACAGGTCACTGAGGCATCCTAACATTGTCAGGTTTAAGGAGGTCCGTGCAACCCATTACCAATCATATCTCTTCCGGCCATAGAAGTATTTTGATTTGTTTACTTGCCCTTTTGACTATAGGTCATATTGACCCCAACACATTTAGCTATTGTGATGGAATATGCTTCTGGAGGGGAGCTATTTGAACGAATCTGCAATGCAGGGAGGTTCAACGAGGATGAGGTTCTCTTCTATTGAGCCATTGTGCTTGAGCTGTGCTGTCAAGTTATCTTTAATGTGGATTGTTTTTTGTTGCAGGCACGGTTCTTCTTCCAGCAGCTTATATCAGGGGTTAGCTATTGTCATGCAATGGTATGCAAGTTTAATACTAATACATTTAGGTGGCATTTAGTGCGTTGGTATGTATCCTAGATGTATACTGTGCACCAAATGCCTCCTCTGTCTTTGCTTGGCAATATTTTTTTCGCTGCCCAGGAGACCTAGTGAGATCTTTGAATTGATTTTCATTGTTCTGTCTCTCTCCTTTTCCTTTGTTTTTTTTTTTTTTAATTTTTAAAGCAAGTATGCCATCGTGATTTGAAGTTAGAGAACACACTGTTAGATGGAAGTCCAGCTCCTCGCTTGAAGATTTGTGATTTTGGGTACTCGAAGGTATACTTTCTTCTTCAAATTGCTTCTTTGAGCTGCGGCTTTAAAAGTGACATTTCAGCTTGTTGCACCCAAATTGGAAAAGAGCATTGTTTAGAAAGTTTACTGAAAAGTATCCTTTCTTGGAAGTCAAGATATTTTCTTCGTTTAGCCCTGGTCATTGATGTTTCAACTTGTAATCTCCTTGTATCCTGTGTCATGGTTGACTTTGCAGTCCTCGGTGCTTCATTCGCAACCGAAGTCTACAGTTGGCACTCCTGCGTACATTGCTCCTGAAGTGTTGCTGAAGAAGGAATATGATGGCAAGGTATATTTAACTTCTATCACCAGGAGAAAACTCATCTTACTAGTGACACTGAGCGTTTCCACTTAGGATGCTTTCCTATCTATGTTTTTTTTTTTGTTGGACACAATTTACAGCTTTTGTTTTTTTATAGGAAGTAGTCATGTGTGACCGTAACCTCCGATGAATTGGTTCTTTGGCTTCTAGGATCAGATTTTTTTTTTTTTGGGGGGGGGGGGGAGAACAGCTGCTGCAATTTTCTGGGATTTAATTCATTTTTTTATTGTTACTGTTAAATCTCTTGATTTTACCCCCTCCAATTTGGTGTGTACTTTACTTAACAAGGTGTTTTCATGTTTTTCCAATTATAAGATCTTTTGTTTTTGTGTTGGGAAAAGAAGGATGGTTAGAGAATCAAACAACTGTGCATAATTTTTTTTTCCCCGATAAATAAAAGTTGATGAATTGGCTCACAGGGGCTCATAGGGCCAGAGTATGCCTCCAAATTCAAAGGAGTGCTTACATAGGTAATTATATATTGCCCGCTAAGAAGATCCTCACAAAGACAGCAAGATTGGAACCCGTGACCTTATGGATTATGGGCCAAATCTTTACTAATTGTTTGGGAAGAGAATGTAAAAGAGACAATGACAGAGACAGGAATAAAGCTCGTTTCGTTGGTTTATTATTGATGGACTTGAATAATTGATAGAATAATTGATAACATCTGCCCACACGCATATATAGGTTAAGGAAGAAGCAAACAAACCAAGTATCTCAGTCTGATAACCCACTACAATGCATGATTAGCAATGATAATTGACTTAATAAATATAAGAAACCACTTAACGAATTAAACAAACCAAAATACGAAACTACCAAGCTCCAATTCAGTTGCTCTTATAATGCTACCCAGTCCAGTTTTGAATGATTCTTCAAAACTAAGTGGACCAAAACTTTGTTGGCACTGTGCATAATTTTCTGTGTGTAGTTCTGGATTATGTAGTAACTTTCATTCATGGTCAGAAGCAAAGGCTTACAAGGCTTGTGAATAAGACCATGCCTGATCTCCTGCAAGTAGGTGCATGAAAAGTTTGATCAGATGATGATGCACTAGCATATTTCTTTCAGGATAGCTTTCATTGGTTTCCTAATGCAATAGATACTTTTTATTGATGATATTATTTAAATATGACTCAGATTGCAGACGTGTGGTCTTGTGGGGTAACCTTATATGTGATGTTGGTTGGTGCATATCCTTTTGAGGACCCTGATGAACCTAAAAACTTCCGCAAGACAATCCATGTAATTCATCCCTTTCTTTTTCGGTCAATGGTAACTTGATAGGCATAATGTGCCTAATCTGTCTGGATATTGCTTGCAGAGGATATTGAATGTCCAGTACTCAATTCCTGACTATGTTCAAATATCTCCTGAGTGCTGTCATCTGATATCAAGGATCTTCGTTGGTGAACCTTCACAGGTCAATATTTTTATTGTTTAAATATATTTACTTTATTTATATGCTTGAGTTCATTGAAAAGAATTGGGTTTTCTAGTTATACTCTTGTCCAATTCTGTTACATGTTTTTCTTTTTTAAGAAATGGGCGAAGGCTTTGATCTTCTAATTGGAAATTAACATCAATTTAAAACAGAGGATAACCATGCCTGAGATTAGAAACCATGAATGGTTTCTAAAGAATCTTCCGGCTGATCTCATGGAGGATGGTACGATGAACAACCAGTTTGAAGAGCCTGATCAACCAATGCAGAGCATCGAAGAAATCATGCAGATAATTGCTGAGGCGACAATTCCTGCGGCTGGTACTCAGTCACTCAACCAATATCTTACAGGTAGCTTGGATCTTGAGGATGACATGGATGAGGACCTAGAGACAGATCCCGACCTTGATATTGATAGCAGCGGAGAAATAATCTATGCAATGTAGCTGAAAGTACGGCTGCCAGGGGGAAAAAAGGGGCTGGTTTCTTCGATTAAGTTGAATGTGATAAGCCGGATTGTTCATAGGGTGCAGGATTTATGTAAAAAAAGTTCTTAATCTCTTGAGGGAAGGATTCTGTGATTGGATATTTCTTATGCTGTGAGAGTCCGTCCTGTTTGTATTCTACTGCTTGGTATGCTTTTTACTGATGTGTTGTATTGTACTTCGCATTATGAATTTATGTCCCATGTCTTTCCACCCGTTTTTCTTGTTAAGCTTCATTGTTGGTCAAATTACATGCCTGAATCTATCTAGGATCAGCTCAGCATTTTATGGTGCACGGCAATATGCAAGGATGTGCATATAGCTTTCTTCTTCTCTAAAATAAGGATTAAGATGTATTAGTATTGTTTGTTTTATAAAATGGTTTAACAAAGGATATCAATGAGTATATATTCTCTGAGCTTTAACATCTAACTTTGTTGGAAGGAAAGGCCCCCATTTCCGAGTTCAATTTGATATTTGTACAGTGTTACAGTAAGAAAAAGCGGCGTAATATGATAGAAGTGTCAATGGTGCAACTGTGGAGACTATACAGAGTGCTTAAATGAGAAGAGAAATTGAGGTGCATTATAAAAAAATAATTTTTATTTAATTTGGGATTTCTTTTTTTTTTTTTTTTGGGAGGGGTAAAGATACAGGGTAAAATGCCCAATCAAATCAGCTCATTTTTGCTCCGGGTAACAAGACCCCTCTGAAATCATTATACAATATCGTTTGCAGCTCTACATGTGGTTCATCAAAAACGTTGACCAGCCTCTCGAGCTTAAACTAAAATCAGCCAAAAAAATCTGCACAAACATTATCTTCTCTGTATCCGTGGCAGACCATAACATTTTCAAAACTAAGCCAAGTCTCTATATATCTGTTTCGTAAGGCTAAACCTTGATTCTTTACCTAAGGTGATGAATTTAGTTCTCTGTTGGAGAATTGGTAATGAAGAATGTGCGGACGTAGATGGTGACAGATGGACACGCGGGATTAAAAGATTAATGGTGACTGATCTGATAATGGGTCTTGGGTTTTGAGCAGAACTGAAATGAATATTCATGATGAAGAGAAAAGATGTCATCTTGAAAATTCCAATTGCTAGAAGTGGAATAAATGAAATATAAGCTTTGCTGGGTTATGTGAAGAAATGTTACCAGCTGATAATGAAAGAGAGACAATAGGGTTTATGCAGGCCCAAGCTGTTCTTCTGAAGTAAATTTGCAGAAACCATAGTTGATGGTAAAAGATTTGGCATCGTGAAAGAAAATCCTTGAGATTTGTGGATAGAGACAATATGAGACAATCCTATTTGAGGCACTGTCAGGTACTAAATATGAACATCTCATTTAGTGGGGATTTAATTTTTGATTCGTTACAATGCGAAAGACTAATCCCTCTGTTAAACCCTCTCCTTATTGGTGAGGTTTGAATCCGATTGTGAGCAACTACCCAGAATTGGAGATGTTGGATTCTCATCTCTGGTGGGCCAGAAAATGAGGCAGGTGATTGTATTTTGCAGGTTTGGCCGTTAAAGGGTATGTGTCCCAACTAGTGGGGTTCTGATAATGCATCTTCTTTCGGCTTTGACCTTGGAAAGGGACAACACATAGTATGGGGCTAGGCCTGAGGCTTGTGCTTCTATTACAAGACAAAGGATGGGTTGGCCGGTTTCTTTCTGTTTAGATGCTTGGCTTTGGTTGTATTAATCTGTCTGTCTTTTGTTTTTTTAATGTTTTGTTGTTGGATATTTGGTTTTTCTAGGTGCTGTCTAATTAATTTGAATGCAATTCAAAGGACTTTCTGGTTGAGAGAGATCAAATTACAATAAAAAAACTTGAAGTAAAAAAAATTATTAATCAAGCTTTCAAGTTTTAGGTCAAACATTTTTATGAGATTTATTAAATTAGTTTTAATTAATTAGAGATATGTGCATTATCCTTCCCTAACATTAAAAATTTTGTGGCACTTATTTTCCTTGCAATGAAAAATATAAACTTCATCTATTTTGATACAAATATTTTAAAATAAATAATATAACGATATCATATATATATGTATCATTATTTGGAGTTGCATTATCTTTCAGGTTAAACATTATCTTCAAATTAAAAAAGAAAGGTTTTAGCCTCATATATGTGTGTGTGTGTATTTTGAAAAGATCACACTGACATGAATGGTCCACTCATATGAAATTGAAAATAAGTGCACATTCTTAATTTCTTATTCCTTTGTTGTGTGTTTGGGAAGAAAAAAAAAGTCTTCTTTTTAATCATCATTAACGAGGACAATCAACGGTAGGGCCCAGAGATTCCTTTTCATTTGCAAACCAAAGCAAGTCTCCTTGCTGGTGGATATGCTTAACTGCACATATAAAGAATTTAATTATATATTAAATGTTTATCGACACTAAATTAACATAATATAATGTTCAAGATTAAATTGATTAGACTAAAGTATACTTTTAATCCTTTAACTTTACACAAAATTTCATTTTGATCCTTTAATTTTAAAAATTAAACTCTTAGTCTTTTAATTCTAAAACTGTTAACAAAAAATGATGATATCGAGCTCTTGAATGCTAATAAAACATTACTAAATGCTAACATATTAAATTTAATATTCAAAACAACCATGATTGTTACAAAAAAATCATCATTTAAGACTAACAATTTTAGAGTTAAACGACTAAAAGTACACTTTTTTAAAGTTAAGGGATCAAAATAAAACCTTATATAAAATTAAAGGACTAAATGTATATTTTGGTTAATTGATTGATATATGGTTTCTTAAGTAAGCAGATTTTTCAATCTCTTGTATTGCACGCGTTGGTCTATCATGACATCCACCAATTGGCCAAGTTACATATAATCCCTATACCGTGCATTGTTTGATCAATGAACCCCATCGTCATTTTTTCTTTTTTGCTATTTTAAATGCTTCCTTTTTATTATTTATAACATTACTGATTATACATGACTTTAACACATGATTATCTGAGATGAAAAAAATATGTAGCAAATTATGAATGATGGCACAAAAAATGAGGAAAAAATTCAAAACCATAAAATAATAGCAATAAATATAATTCGTCGATTAATCTTAGAAAAAAAATCAACAAAAACATTGCAAAAAAAACATAAATTAATCAATTATGAAGGCTTTTAATAATTCAAAATATTTTTAATAAAGTAGGAAAACCTATTTTTTTATTATTTAATAAAATTTATAAAACAAAATGCAAAGTCGTGACACATAATTGAAGCTAACATCTCATAACATGATATTTGTTTTTTTTTTTAATTTGAGTGAAAACTAAAAGACAAATTATGGATAAGTTTGTGGATGGAATATTAAATTAAATCATGTTGAGTCACACAAAATAAAGTTATATATAGCGGCATGGGTCACTACTACTCGGGAGAAACTTGTGTGAAATGACAAAAAGGAAATTTGTTTATCAAAAATCAAATGCTATACACTAGCCCAAAGAAGAAAAAAAAACAAAGCTGAGAATATAAAATATTTATTTAATTGACTATTTAAACTTCACCCTATATGTGAACTAATGTTTTTTTATTCTTATGAGGGCAAGCATAGATAAAAATAGTCTGAAATTTAGCAAAATTTGGTAGATTGTCATACAAAAAGAGTCCTCTCTCTCATTGAGAGATGCAGACTTGAGAACACAATTGAGAGGACGCCTTGAAAATAAAAAATAATTGTGTCGTAACATGTACGAAAATTGCTGAAATGAAATGAATATATATATATATATATATAAAAAAGTGTAGCAAATTTTGATATTTTTCCAGGACTTTTTTTGTTTAGTTTTATAAATTACTATCTTTAATCTAAAGTATAAGAGCTAGACAAATATTTGTTTTAATTCTAAGTAGTATAAATTTTTAATTCATTTTATCTTTCATATTTATATTTTTTTTGAAAGTGTTTATATTAATTACACAATGTAAGTGTTTCAATTAAGAATTAGTTAGAAAACACGTGATTATTAAGAATATTATGGATAAACTAACGCGTATTTATTATAATAACCAATTAAAATGTTATTTTAATTTATACAAATTTGTTATTCAGCTCTTACATCAATCACTTGAAAAGTATACAAAATAAAATATTAGCTGATTAAATGAAAACATGGAGTGGGTAGGATTGCCCTTGACCTTAAGACGTTGGTGTTAAGCATCACCTTCTTTCCATTTCTATTATTTAAAAAAAGAAAGATATTCATCATGTACGGATGTGCCATTAATATAAGATTTAATATTATACTATTATTTATTAAAGTAACTTTTCCCAGTTTACAGTATGTATATTTAACCATGGATTAAAAATTTGAATATCCCTTTCATATGCGATTGATAATGATATGGAAGATTTCTAGCAAAATCTAAAATTTTTATTAGACGTTACTTATAGTTCTTAAAAATATTCATTTTACATACATTCAACATAATGAAAATTGTTCTTTTAGTTTTTTTTCCCCTCCAGTGGAATCGAATCCAATCCGAATTTTTAAATATTACATATACTACCTCCGATCTTTAATATAAGACCTCGTTTGATTTTAATTTTGGTCCTAATTATAAGACTCCAATCAACTTTATCTTTCATGTTTATTTATTTATTTTCAAGATAGTCCGTCTAATAATAGTAGTTATAGCTAATAAACTTAATTAGTAAAGATATTTTTAAAAAGACAATGCCTATTTATTACAAATAACTAATTTAACTTATTTTCTTAATTTTTTTAAATTAGTCAACTAGCTCTTATAATTAGGACTGGAGGTGGTAGTTTGTAACCAAAGTAAGTAAGAATGTAGGATGATTCACAAGAGCATATGGATTAACGAGAAACAACTATGACCTCCACAAAAATACGTGTTGGTTGATGACAACTTATTCTGGATATTAATTAATTAATAACCCATATACATTTATTAAAATATATGATATTAATATTTTAACCCTCCACCATGTGCGAATCTAATTATTTTAATAGGATGCTTAAAAGGATATAAAAAAAGGGGACCACAACCTCCACATTTGAGTAAATTCCAATAAATAAGCATCGAAATTCAGGTGTTGGCATGAATCATTAAGATGTTAATTCATAATTAATTTTCTTTTTGGGGTTAAAGGGAAAGAAAAGCAACTCGGTGCAAAGAAGAGAAAGGCTTTGTTTTATTTAAAGAGCAAAGAGAAAACGTAAAGGAGTGGAGTAGAAGAAACCGAAAAGAAAAGGTATCTGCCATACTCATTTGGGGGTTGAAGCAGAGCAGAACAGAGGAAAATGGTGATCCAGAGAATAGAACTCTGCTTAACTCTGTTGAGAATGGCCATCGATCTCATCATGGACGTAGCAGAAACATTCATAGCCGTCCAAGAAGCAGCCTCGCAGTCTCCTCTTCCTCTGAGTCGCCCACTTCCTTTCTCTGGTTTTCTTCCCTGATGTTTTTTTCCCGCTTTCCTCTGTTTCTTATGTTTCTTCTCGTTGTATAGATCTTCTTCTTCTTCTCTGGACTTTAGGGAAATCTGTCTCCATACTGTTGGGGAATTTGTTTTCAGATAAGAGATATTTCTGTATGCAGGTTCTGTGAGTTTCATCGATTTAAGTTTAACACCTCTGTTTGTATAGTTTTTTTTTTCCTTCCCTTTTTTTCTCTTCTGGTGATGGATTGGATCTCTGTTTCACACTGACTCTTGAAGTTGTGTGAAGATATTGAGACCTTCTCATATATATATATATATATATTAATGGAGATTTTGTAATGTTGCGTTCTTGATTTGCCTCAAATACATGAGAATGGAGGAGTTCTTCAAACTTCTTCATTAACCCCTGCCTTGCTTTAGTGCGTCTTTTTGGGATGAATTTAAGAAATTGGCACAAAGGTCTATGACGATTAATTTAATGGAAAAAGGACAAACTGATGCTGGTTAATGCTGATTCTTTTCCTTTATAGGAGAATTTCAGTTATTATTTGTTAAGAAGTCTTCGCTTTCTTTTTGGTTCTTTCTTTAACTCACTCGTTTCCTTTTAGGAATATGTCGAGTCATCTCATTGAAATGAACAGTGGAATGTGTGTTTCAAAAAACAAAGAAAGAATGGCCATCTGGAAGTGTGCCTATAATTCAGAAATCCATGTTAAAATACTACCTAATTAATTAATTAGAAATCCAACTTGATGCTAAATATAAGAAATTACTTTATTTTGTTTCCTAAATTTATTTTTTTGGCAAAATATTCTTATTAATTATATTAAAAAATTCAATACCTATGTGTTATAAATAATTAATTTAATATTTTAAAAAAAATTTAATTATCTAACTCTTATATTAAAAAAATAAAAGAAAAAATACTTTTTTTTTTTGAAAAAATAAGAAGGATTCTGGGCGGACAGAAATGATGCTTGCTTTTCCGGGATCTTCTGCCAGGGTCCAAGGTGAACCTCTTCTCATCTCTCTCTCTCTGTGTGTGTTTTTTTTTTGGGTTATAAAGCTCCTTCATCTTCTTAATGGGAAAATTTTTCACGAAATTTTATTTTCAAAACATGAAAATTCAATTTATATAAAGTATTTGCCAGAGTTAATTTACATAAAGTTTATTTCTTCTATTTCTTATGACTTTCCCCTTTCTCATTTTTCTGTTAACACATATTTATCACTCATTTAAAAAAAAATCAAAAAATCAAAAAAGATAAATATGATAAATAAAATAAATTAAAATCTTATATTGAGAATTAAATTAAAAATCAAACTAATACACAAGTACACTAGATGCTGGTAGGAGGCACTGTTTTGGTCTCTCTTTCGAGTACAAATTAAGTTTTGTAATAACCACAGTTATTTTATATTTTCCCAGGTATAAGTCAAAGATCCACTTTATATGGGAAATATAATTGAAGTTTTTGAACCGCAGAGGCAAATTGAAATTTCTTCAGAAATGACATTAAAAAAAAAGAGAGAATTATAATAAGATTTCAAGAAATAAAATTATAAAATCAGTTTCAAAAATTATTATTTTTTATTCTATAACTTGTTATTACATGTTTTTAAATTGTTATTAAAATTTTTTAGTAATTATTTTTTTATCCCATAAAAAATTGTCATACTTATCCTTCAAGTCAGGTAAGGAATAGTCACTTTGATTAGAATACTATTGTTATAGTTGATAGTTGACGATGTCAAAATTTCAACTAACCTCAAAATAATTGAAACACAGTATTCAACTAACATCAACAATCCAGCACTCGTGCTTCACCCCCACCGATGTCAACTAACAAGAAATTTGACTTTTAAAAATAAAATTTCTGCTAAAACGTAGGTATCTCCTATTAGAGATAATCTTATTCGAGACACTGTCAGACATTAAATAGGAACAGCTTTCCCAATAGAAATTTGAACCTTAACTTACTACGTTATGAGAAATCAGCTCCTTCTGCTAAATCTAATCCTATTGGTAATTAATTTAACTTTTGTTTTCACCATACTCATCTGCTGTTTATTATTGATGGAGACCGTCATGTGATTTCATTGCGTATGGGCCACCAGATGATCTCCATCGGATTTCCAAGTACGCCCCAAATCCTTCGCATCCAAAATAGAAGAATGAGATAGAGCGTCCTTGGCTAAATTCTCTATATACGTACGTAGTAATATAATCCATCAGGTTGAGAATACGGAGATATACCAAGCTAGCGGCAGTAGCATCGCATCAATTAAGGAGCCTGTCAATCAAAACCTTTGCATCAGATTCAAGAACCACTTTGTTAAACCCCATATCCCAAGGTTATCGGAGTTAAGGAGGGCCGTTTTAGGTGAAATCTTACGAAACCACAGTTGAGTCCCGTGTCCTTGGGGCATCCTAGGCCTACAGCCGTACCTGGGTATGGTTCAGTCTTATGTTGCTGGTTTTCTTCATGTTTGGTGTCAGACCCATCAGCTTGCGGTATTAAAGTCAACATATAATGGACGTGGACTAACGATAAAAATAAAAATTTATTTTTAATTTGTTTTTTAAAAAAATTAGATTAGATAATGTGATTTATATTTGGAGTAGTTTTTGTAAATAAGTCAGTTTGTAAAAATAAAAACTATTTGAATTATTATTAAAGAGTAATTTTAGTTGTAAAATGACCTAAAAAGACATAAATTTTATTAATTACTAATCTCTCACACTACTCTTATTAAATATGGGTATATATGCAAAAAAAATTTAATGCTCATTAAAATTATCAAAAAGCATTGTAAACCTTATAAAAAACTTCTACTAAAATATTTCTTATAATATGAATAGGATGGAGTAATACATATGTTGATGTATGCGTGTGTATATTACACTTAGATATGGTTAAAAAAAATTAAAAAAACTGTTACTAAAAAATAAAAAATTTATTTATAATATGATAATTTTTTAGAAAATTGCGTTATTAAAAATTTTAAAATGCACAAAAGCAACGAATGAGGGAGAAGAGCCAGGGGTCAAATTTGGTATTAAATTTGTAATAAATGTTCACAAGACTTTCTACCAAAGCAGACACACAAATCCATAAGTTATATAGCATCTCTCCTTGCTCCTGTTTTTCATCGGCTTTTGACTTATAAGCTAAATAAGCTAAGAGCTTATCCAAACAAGGGACTTAAACTATTGTAAGTAAGATTGGATCAAATTTAAATACGTTTTAAGCCCAGAAACGCTGATCCACACATACTGAATTTAAATTTATGCCATGAAACATCACAAAATATATTATCTCAGACGTTTTTATTCAGCTTACATAACCTACACAGACATTAAGCAGCTTTTAGAAAAAAGAAGAGAAGAAAAGGGAAAAGAAAATGCACTCATTGTCTCACATTACCGCTCGGTCCATACAGAAGCCAAAGGGTAATGATATATACATATTTAAAGCAGCCTGAAATGAGAAATCAGAAGGTTTTCCACGTTCTGTTTCTGGGAATTGCTCTCTTTTCTCTTCACAAGATACTTGCCAAAATTATAGGGCCTGTATTTTGAAGGGTTTTGTTCATGAATCAGCTCCTTCAAAGGCTCAACAATGGTGTAATGCGCAGGGTTGAAGAAGAAGGAAATCGAAAACCTTTCCTTCTTACAGTTCACTATCACCCTCTGCTCCACACTCTCATACGTACTCATCATTGCTCCAAACCTACACACAAAAATCACATCACAAACTAATCAAACTTGCCAATTTCACATGAACATCTTATGAACTTAATGAAGATCTTGAAGTGGCACGTACCTGAACGACTTCACCAATGTTGGTGATAAAAGCTTGTGGGGCGGGTTTGACTCTGATCCATTCTTGATCTGATTTACGTCTGACTTCGAGTCCTTCAACTTCATCTTGAGCAAGAATTGTGAGGGCACCGGGATCCAGCTTCGAGAGCCAAGTGAGGCGAAGGATAGGTTGCATGATAAGATAATTCCAATAGATATGATTAATAAAAATATTATAATACAAATAATTAAATTTAATTAATTTTTTAATATACGCAAATTAATTATCTCGCTTTTATATTAAATTTAGCAGGTACTATATAAATTATGTATAAATTATATATCTTCGCATTACAAGGAGAAGTCAAATTCAATTTTTTATTAGCATATGACTCTTTTTTTTTTTATCGAAATTAGTATATGACTCATATACTAAATTAAATCAAATTTTATTTGCAATGATGTAGCTTACTTAAAATTTTGTGTAATATATGTTGGCAAAAAATTGTGCAATATATGAAGAATATCATCCTCTTATCTATCAACAGTTAAAACAAAAAGGTGAGGCGAAAACAAAAAGAAAAATTAGGAATAAATACCCATTTAAAAAATAAATTACATAATGGGACCTGACCTTAGGTGACAATAAGTTTGAGGGGTAAAAAGACCAAATAACCTAAGTTGCATATACTTAATCCTAATTGCATGTTGAGGATACCTAGTTGCATATATGACCTAATTACATGTCACTGATCCTAATTGCATATCATTGATCCCAAAGTGCATATGTCTAATCTTAATTACATATTGAGAATGTCTAGTTGCATATATGACCTAATTACACATCATTGATCCTAATTGCATATCATTGATCTTCAATTGTATATGCTTGATCCTAATTACATATCACTAATTCTAAATGTATATCCTTGATCTCGAGTTACACACACTTGATCTTCATTGCACATTGAGGATGTTTAGTTGTATATAGGATCTAATTACATGTCACTGATTCTAATTACATATTCTTGATCTCCAGTTGCACATGTTCGATTCTAATTGCACATTGCTTATGCTTAGTTACATATAGGACTTCATTGCATATGGCTGATCCTAATTACATATCTTTGATATCTAGTTACATATATTTGATCCTAATTGTATTTCATTAAGGGTATTACGGTAATTTTTTTCCTTTTCAATTTTTTAGAAGGACCTTAAAAGTTCAGGTCCCATTTTACAATTAATTTCTTAAATGGGTATTCATCCCCAATTTTCCTAAACCGAATATTATGATAATAATAATAATAATAATAATAATAATAATAATAATAAGTAATGTAAACTACCATCGTAGCTTGTGGTATAATTATCCATATTTTTTAAATTTCTTCCAAATACAATATTACTAATTCTCAATATAAAAGTTAGTTGATTAATTTGAGTATATTAAGAAAATTAGTTAATAGTGTCATATTCTCTAAAATATCTTTACTAATCATGCGCATTAGCATTTGATGAAACGTTTAAAATGTACAACTACTACAAATACTACCTCGAAAATAGATAAATATGAGATATAAAGTGAATTAGGGTCTTATATTTAAGATCAAATTAATTTTATCCTTATCCTTCAAGCCACGTAAGGAATAGTCACTTTGATCAGAATATTATTATCATAGTTGATCATGTCAAAATTTCAACCAACCCTCAAAGTAATTGAAACGTCAACAATCCAGCATTCATAATCCACTAGCACCTATGTCAAGTAACAAGAAATTTGACTTTCAAAAATAAAATGAATTTAAAATTAATTTTACTTTTGTTTTCACCATTAATGACAAAAAGCGGGGGTAACAAACGTGGGCCCTATCCAATTCTGCAAAGTGGTGGCCTATCAATTCTGCTAGTGAAAAAAACTAATTATTAATAAATCTCTAAATTCTATAATACCATTCGAAATGTCAGTATATTGTTGGACTTTATAGATGAATTAATTCTCAATGTTTTATTTCACCACACTGAAATTTAATACTACCTCCGATCCTTAATATAAGACCCTAATCTACTTTATCTCTCATATTTACGTTTTTTTTAAGGTAGTCATTCTAATAATTTTAGTTCTAACCAATATAGTTGATTAGTAAGGATATTTTAGAAAAGACAACACCTATTTATTACAAATAACTAACTTAACTTTATTCTTTAATCTCCTCAAATTAGTCAACTAGATCTTATAATTAGGACCAGAGGTAGTACTAGCTAACTAAATATGTGTTTATAAACCTAGTCCAATGGTCTCTGTTATTTTGTTGTGTATGTGCATGGACTGATCAATGATAATTGAGCCAGCTCGTTAAAGTTAATTACATGCCAGAAGAGGTACTTATTGCGATCTTTTTAATTTTTTTTGTACAAATGAAATAGGCAAAAAAAAAAAGAGGAAAAAGAAAAAGCTCACTGGGAATTGATTTGCATATGCTCTCTATCAACTAAGGTCTGCAAATGAGACGAACGCACAAGGAAATGACATCCATTAATATTACACAGGCTATGGGAACCAAAGGATAACTGTCATAACTAGGGTGAGCAAAACCGAATCGTAACCGAAAACCGAATCGAATCGAATTTAATTTCGGTTATTTCGGTTTTCAGTTACATATTCGGTTTTTATTTTTGTAATAACTTGGTTTCGGTGTTTGGTTCGGTTAGTAGGAAAAAAATTCGGTTATAACCGAAAAAACTGAAATGAATATATTATATATTTATATTTAATAAATATATATGGGTTTATGTGAACTCTTTAAATATATTTATATTCAATAAATATGGTTATAATAAATATTATTGTAATAAATCACATTAAATGATAAAATATTTATTAATTAATGGTTGTAATTGTGTTTTATTATTATTATTAATTTAAAATCACTTTCATATTTATATATTTCGGTTAATCGGTTAACCGAACCGAAAAATCACTTTCATATTTATATATTTCGGTTAATCGGTTAACCGAACCGAAATAATTCGGTTAATTCAGTTTCGGTTAGTTTGGTTATCGGTTTCGGTTCGGTGTTTAAAAGTTGCTCTATTCGGTTATTCGGTTAATTCAGTTATCACCGATAACCGAACCGAAAAACTGAATACTCACCCCTAGTCATAACTTCCTCTTCTCCTTTCTGTTAGTGTATAAGTCCAATGGGCTTTAGTTGTGTCCAGCTATCACCATCTGTCAAGTTGGCAACTTGTTGAGTCTGTAACTAAGTTTAGTTAGAACCCACGTGTACTATATATGCAGTAGATGTACACCGTTCTGAATTGGGTTGATGAATAACAAATTGAAGGTTTCATCATCTTCTTTCTCTGACCATAATCGTATATGGTATCAGAGCCGCCGTGCTCTGCCGGCGTGATTCTTCGATCCACTATTCCATTCTTTCCGTTCTTATCGTGTTCTCAAGAATGCTCTATCATGACTTCATTGGATGGTTTCAGTGCTGCTCGTGATGATGCTCATATTGCTATTTCAGCACCAAGATTCTTCATGAACAAGAAGATTACAGTAAAGCTCGATGATAATAACTACTTGATGTGGAAATAACAAGTGCAACTGATGGTAAAGCAACACCGATTGCTTGGCTTACTCGATGGTTCTGCAACGGTTCCGGCAGCCACCATCACTATTGGAAATGATGTGACGGGTCCAAACCCGGCCTATGAAGAGTATGAAGTCCAGGATTCCTCGCTTGCATCTTGGCTTCTTTCCTCAGTCAGTCCTTCGGTATTGCCCGAACTTGTCGAATTCAACACTGCAGCTCAGATTTGGTCTCGACTTGAGCAGATTTTTTCGTCCAAATCAGATGCTAAGATTCTTTCGTATAGGAATCAATTGACAAACCAAAAGAAGTGCGAGCTTGCTATGCGTGATTATCTTGCCACTATTAAATCCATTTGTGACCATCTTGCAATGCTCGGTCATCGTGTAGCTGATGCAGATCATATCTCGCACATTCTCAACGGTCTGTCAGCAGAATATGAAGCGGTCATTGCCGTGATAAATGCTGCTCATGGGCGTTATGCACTATCAGAGGTTCACACTATGCTACTAGATGCAGAGATTCGTCAAAAGTCATTTATCCAGTCTGCTTCAGCACAAGTGCATCTAACTTCTGCAATGAAGGCTGTATCAATTAATCAACCAGAGGAGGTTTTTCAAACAGCCTATAATCCTCGATATGGTTCAAATAGAGGAGCACCACCGCCACCTTTTAGAGGTCCTACTCCCTCTCATGGTCGTGGTCGAGGTCGATTTATTACCAGTGCCAAACCATCGTGTCAGATTTGCAGTAAGCTCGGTCACATCGCTGATCGTTGTTACTTTCGGTATGATCTTCATTATAATAACAACTCTAATGTTTCCACTAATTCTTCTGCTCCTGTTGTTTATGCTACGACTTATGATGCTTATGATGTGCCAATTGGCGAATATACTGCAACTCATGAGTCATCTGCACCACATAATGCTTCTACTCCTACACATTCTGTAACATACTAAAAAAAAATGTAAATAATATATATAATAATAATATTTTATTATTAAAAAAAAAGGGGGGGGACAACTTTCCACCAAATCGGTGGAAAGTTGGAGGCAAAGAAGAATTTGAGGGGGGTGTATTAAATGAAAGAGGAATGTTGAGGGGGAGTGTTACATGGGTTGGAAAAAAATTAGAAGGTAATAAATGAAGGAAGAAATTTGATGGAAGAAAGAGAGGGGGAAAGGACAGTGGAAGTGGAAAAGTGGGAGATGAGCCGTGGAAAAATGAAACATGGGGTATTATATATATATCATCCCCCGGTGATCTCCTTCAAGCAAGAGCAAGAGAGTGCGGAAGAGGAAGAGAGCAAAAGAAAAAAAAAGAGAGAGAGAAGCATAGAGAAAAAGAGAGAGAGAGCCGAGTTCCAGAGTACCTGACGGTTTTGGAGATCATTTAGGTACACAAAACTACTTCTTGTTATCATATTTTCTTTATGAACATTTCCTATATATTTAGAACTTTATATTATTAGTATCATTATAATGTTTAGAGAAAATTTTACTGTTTGGGTATAGAGTAAATATGGAGTTTTGACAATATATGACCGTAAAAAT